TTTTCATAGACCTAGAACAAATAATCCTAAAATTTGTATGGAACCACAGAACACTGTAACTAGACAAAGTAATCTTGAAAAGAAGAACAAAACTAGAGGTGTTATAGTCCCAGATATCAAGATATACTACAAAGCAATAGTAATCAGAATAGTATGATACTAGCACAAAAATAGACACATAGATCAATAGAATAGAATACAGAGCCCAGAAATAAACCCACAATGATATGGTCAATTAATCTTCAACAAAGGAGGCAAGAATATGCAAAGGGAAAAAGACAGTCTCTTCAACAAATGGTGTTGGGAAAATTGGAGAGCTACATAGAAAGAATGAAACTGGATCACTTTCTTACACCATTCAAAAAATAAACTCAAAATGGATTAAAGATCTGAATGTGAGACCTGAACCATAAAAATCCTACAAGAAAGCATAGACAGTAATTTCTCTGACATCAACTGCAGCAACATTTTTCTAGATAGGTCTCCTGAAGCAAGAGAAACAAAAGCAAATATAAACTATTGGGACTAAATCAAAATAAAAATCTTCTGCATGGGGTGCCTGGGTGACTCAGTCGGTTGAGTTTCAACTCTTGATTTTGGCCAGGTCATGATCCCAGGGTTGTGGGATCAAGTTCCAAGTTGAACTCCACACTGAGCATGTCGACTGATTGGGATTCTCTCCCTCTCTCCCTCAGCCCTTCTCCCCAGCTCACTCTGTCTCTCTGAAAAAAAAAAAAATTAAAATTAAAAAAAAATCTTCTGCACAGCAAAGAAAACAATCAACAAAATGAAAAGACAGCCTACTGAATGGGAGAAGATATTTGCACATGATATATCCAATTAAAGGTTAGTAGTCAATATATAAAGAACATATACAAATCAACACAACACAAAAAAATCCAATTAAAAACTGGGCAGAAGACATGAACACGCATTCCTCCAAAGAAGACATACAGATGGCCAACAGACACATGAAAAGATGCTCAAATCACTCATCATCAAGGAAATGCAAGTCAAAACTACAATGAAAGTGTGCCTGGTTGGCTCAGTCGGAAAAATATGCAACTCCTGATCTTGTGGTCATGAGTTCCAGCCCCACATTGGGGGTAGAGAATATTTAAATAAATATTTTTTTAAAACTACATCTGTCACAATGGCTAAAATCAAAAACACAAGAAACAAGTGTTGATGAGGATATGGAGAAAAAAACCCTCATGGGCTATTGGCAAGAATGCAAAACTTGTGTAGCCACTGTGTAAGTATGGAGTATGGAGTCTCCTCAAAAAAATTTAAAAAAGAACTATATGACACGGTAATTCCACTACTGGGTATTTACCTAAAGAATACAAAAACACTAATTTGAAAAGATATACGCACTCCTATGTGTTTGTAGCATTACAATAGCCAAATTATGGAAGCAACCCAAGTGTTCAAAGACAGATGAATGGATAAAGAAGTGGTGTATATGAATGTTACTCAGCCATAAAAAAGAATGAAATCTTGCCATTTTGCAATAATATGGATTGATCTAGAGGGTATAATGCTAAGTGAAATAAATCAGAGAAAGACAAATACCATATGATTTAACTCATAAGTGGAATCTAAGAAACCAAACAAACAAAGGAAAGAAAGAGACAAACCAAAAAACAGACTCTTAACTGTAGAGAACAAACTGATGGTTACCAGAGGGAAGGTGGGTGGGAGAATGGGGGAAATAGGTGAAAGGGATTAAAGAGTACACTTATTGTGATGAGCACTGGATGATGTATGAAATTGTTGAATCACTATATTGTACATTGAATCATTATATTGAAACTAATATAATATTGTACGTTAACTATCCTGGAATTTAAAAAAAAAACAAGTAAGCAGATAGTAAAGTTATATTCTTAAGAAAGTTAAAGAATCTAAATAGAACTGTGGACAAATACTCAAATGGTTCCTGCAAGAAAACTCAGGACTTTCCTCAAGAAACAGTTCTGGGGCCTCAGTTCAATACACTATATTTCAAGAAAAAAAAAGTTCTATCTTCCCCACCTTCCTACCTTCTGAGACCTAATGATAACACAGGAACAAATGCAGAACAGTAAAGAGAACACAAGGAGAGTTGTCAGTGTGTGAGAGACTAAAGCCAATATGTGAAAATGGAAAAAGACTAAAAACCTGTGGTTAGATAAGAGAGAACAGGCAGTCCAGAATATGCAGGAAGGACATTCAGAGTAGGAGAGGGTGAATCTCCATGGCAGAAACCCACAGAAGTTTCAGACAGAGTTGGCAGGTGCCTCAGAGGGCAGGAGGCACAGAGGAGGCTAAAACAGAGGGATTATTTGAAATTGTGTCTAATACATGACTGCATCAGACACCAACTAACATTCCCCACCCTCCTTTCCTATTTCTAAATACACGGAATACTAACTAGCATCTACTCCTACCCATTGCCCCTGCCAAAAGTTGCCATTAAAAAGCTGAATAAACTGAGGAGAAACAGGAATGCTAAAGCTGGATGCCAGTGTCCCAGGTAAAGCTCTCTCTAGTCTTGCATTTTGGAGTGCCAAATATCCCCCCTAAAACAAAAAGACTCCAGAACTCTTACCCTAAAATGAAGACAACCAGTGGTTAAGTCTATTTATAGAAGCAATGGCTGACTCTGCACCAAAAATTTGTGCTCCTCATTTCTTAGTGTGACATACTTCTTCTGGGAAATAGGTACCCAGCCAGAGACTTCATTTTTCAGTTTTCTTATACCCAGGTGTAGTTCTCTAACTAGTAAAATGTAAGTAGAAGGGATGTATGACACTTTTCGCTTTCTTATTAACCCCTCTGACAGCTGGAACAAAAGGCACCAAGGCTCAAGGAGATGCTAGTGGAAAGATTTGGGGCCTCTGAATTATCACATGCAAGATAGCCACCTACCGGTCAGAGACATTTGCTTTGTATTGTGACACAGATGAGAAACAAACCTATTGTGTAAAGCCATTGTAATTTGGAGGTTTACCTGGGTGACTGGAATTCCCATAATCAATGATCCCTCCCATGTACACAGAGCCATCCCACAGGAAGACAGACCTATATATACTACAGCAGTAAACTCCTAAAAGCTATCTAGAACAGTCCAATTCTTAAACCTGATGGGCAACTCAAGATGCCAAGAGAGAAAACAATAAAACAATAAAAGAGAAAGACTGAGATAAATAGTACATGTACTGATCCTAGGGAAAGATTATTGGAAGAGAAAAATAAGCTTTTAAATTTTTAAATTAGCATTTTCAAAGAAATGTGAAAACATATTACTTCCACAAAGTTCAAACTAGATGCTCCTTTCTCACATCCTGACCTTGAGTTGTATATATATATATATATATATATATATATATATATATATATATATATACACACATACATATATATCCCTTGAGGAAAGACCTATGTATTCCCAATAAAGGAGATAAAAGAAGTGCCAAGCAAAATGAATGGAAAAAGATCATCTAGACATAGCTTCAGAAAAATTTTAAATACCGCATATTAAGAATTTTTTTTTCTTTCTTTCTTTTTTATTTGAAAGGGAGGAGGAGACTCCATACTCCAACCACGCCTGCATGGTTGAGTTGGTTAAGCATCCAACTTTGGCTCAGGTCATGATCTCATGGCTCATGAGTTCAAGCCCCTCCTCGGGCTCTGTGCTGACAGCTCAGAACTGGAGCCTGCTTCAGATTCTGTGTCTCCCTCTCTCTCTGCCCCTCCCCTGCTCATGCTCTATCACTCTCTCTCAAAAATAAACATTTTTAAAAATTAAAAAAGAGAGGATGCACAGGGGAAGGGCAGAGAGAAAAGGAGAGAGAATCTTAAGCTGGCCACACTGCCCAGGCAGAGCCCGTCAAGGGCCTTCATCTCATGACCCTGAGATCATGCCCTGAGTCAAAATCAAGAGCTAGACATTCAACCAACTGAGCCACACAAGCATCCCAAGAGATTTTTTAAATTAACTTTTTTATCATGGTAAGAACATATAACATGAGATCTCTTAGTAAAAATTTTAATGTACAATGGAATATTGTTAACTATAGGCACAATGGTTTTTTTTTAATGTTTTTATTTTTTTCAACGTTTATTTATTTTTGGGACAGAGAGAGACAGAGCATGAATGGGGGAGGGGCAGAGAGAGAGGGAGACACAGAATCGGAAACAGGCTCCAGGCTCTGAGCCATCAGCCCAGAGCCTGACGCGGGGCTCGAACTCACGGACCGCGAGATCGTGACCTGGCTGAAGTCGGACGCTTAACCAGCTGTGCCATCCAGGCGCCCCAAGGCACAATGTTTTAAAACAGATCTCTAGAGTTTGTTCATCTTGCATAATTGAAACCTTATACTTGTTGGAAATCAACTCCCAATTTTTCTCTCCTTCCAGCCTCTGGTAACCACCATTCTCTCTGCTTCTATGAATTTGACTATTTAAGATACCTAATAGAAGTAAAATCATGCAGTATCTGTCCTTCTATGACTGACTTACTTCCCTTAACATAATATCCTCAGTATTCATCCATCTTGTCACATATGTCAGGATTTCCCTTTTTTTTTTTTTAATGGCTGAATAATGTTCCATTGTATGTCTTTTGGTTTTTTTAGTGTTTTTGAATCCATTCATCCATTCATTAGTGGACATTTAGGTTGTTTCCACATCTTGGCTATTGTGAATAATGCTGCAATGAAAATGAGAAGAGAAAATCTTTTAAAGCCTTTAGATAAGAAGAGCAAAAAAGGTCACTTACCAAGGAACAATAATAAACTAACATCAAACTTCTCATCAGCAATTCTCATGCTAGAAGATAGTAGAACAAAACCCTCACAGTTCTGAGGGGAATAAAATGTTTGAATACAGAATTCTGTGCTTTGCCAAACTATAAATCAATGGAAGAGCATACTAAAAACATGTTCAGATTTACAGGTACTCAGAAATTTCATCTATTTGTGTTTTCTGATGAAAATTTGTTTAATATATTCCAGACAAATGAGGTAGAAACCAACAAAGAGGAAGATATGGAATATAAAAAAGGTGAAACTAACCCAAGAGTCTAATGAAAAACAATTCCAGAGTGAAGCTGTGCACAGGGTTTACAATCTAAATCAGAAGAGGAAGTCAGTGGGCCGCGACTAGAATGTCTTCAAGAAGAAAAAAGAAATGTAGTCTGTGCAGAAGATATAATGACTATAGAAATGGATGGTATCAGCTATATGGTAAAGAAAACATATTTTTTTTTCTCAATAAGATACAAAAAAGACAATTGGAAATTCTAGGGGGAGACAATAAGAATTACATTTTTAAATGATTCATGATTTAAAAAAAAAAGGAAGGCAGCTAAAATGTAGGATAATTTTAAGCAACTTTTGAAATTATAAAAGAAAATTTATTTAATTTGGACACTGGAACATTCTTCTTCAAGGAGCCCAGAGGCCATGATCTTGGATGTATTTATGTTTAAATGTAATTTTTCCATATTATTTGGCTATGCAATAAACAATAATTAAATAGGAAAGGGTTGATTGTTAACTTTCAGGATCAACCTATAAACAACACATGAAAGATTACAATAACGAATGAACTTGGCATTAACCTTGAAAATGTAAAAACAAAAGTATGATTGACAGAATATAGTAGATAGAAGAGTATATAAAATGGAAGAAAGGGGAAAAGAGCTGATAGTCTCATCAAAGTATATCCAGAATGTGACCACTTCTCACCAACTCCACAAGCACTCCCTACTCAGAACCACCTTTATCTCTATCTGGATTACTGCAGTAGCCTCCCAACTAACCCCTGTTTCCACCAACACCTTCCTATACTTATTCTCAACATGGAAGCTATACAAATCCTTCTAAATACAAGTCAGACTATGTCACTTCTCTGCTCAAAACCTTCCAATGGCTTTCCAGTGCACCCAGAGTAAAAGTGAAAAGTCCTTCTATTGGTCCATATGGCACAATTTCATGTCACCTTCTGTTATCTCTCTCACCTCAGCGTCCACCACAGGGCTCTTTGCTCACTCCATTCCAGCCATACTAGCCTCCTTGCCAATCCTTGAACGTGCCAAGCACACTCCTGCTTTGAGGCCTTTGCTGGTTTCCTCTGCCTGAACTCTCTTCCCTAAGATATTCACATGGATAACTCCCTGCCTGCCTTTAAGTCTTTGCTCAAACATCACTTCTCATTGAGGCCAAATCTGACCATCCAGCCTAAAATTGTTACTCCCACCTCCCTACCTCCTGATTCCTCTTACCTTATTCTCCTTTTTTTCCCCCCATTAAACTTGTCAATGTCTACTATATAATTTATGTGTCTCAACACCCCCTCCCCGACTAGAATGTACAGGCCAGTGAGGCTAGGATCTTTCTGTTAATGACTGAGCATGTGGAATAGTGTCTATCATCACAGTAGATACTCAATAAATAATTGTTAAATGAATAAATATAGCTTAAGAATCAAGAAATATTATATAAGGTTGTTGGGACAAAACCTAGAGGCTGAAGCATATTATTTAGAAACATAAAAGCAACTGATAATAAAACTATAATATCTATAATATCTATCAAAATTCAAGAAAGTATAGCTAAATCCTTATTTTTCTTATAGGCAGTGAATAGATAATGTCTTTTAAATTGAAAAGTCAAGAAATGGCACCAACAGCACATAATTGAAAGTTGAAAAAGAAAAGAAAGTTGAGAGGTAATTAATGGACTACTAAAAATAAAAAGTTATTAAAAGTAGCTGCTACTACTATGTGTGTATATGTTTGTTATAAGCATAGAAACAAAGACTTGAAGGATACAGACCAGATTACTGCCAGTTGTAACTTCTTAAATAGTTTACAGGAATAAAAGAGTAAAAATCAGTAATTATTAAAAATAATTTTAATCTTTATACCAAATAAAGGAAGGTTGTTTGCCTGTGGAAAGTGGTACTGAGTAGTAGATGGTAATGGTACTGAGAGAGATGTTTTTCAGTATAAATTCCTCAGTTCTGTTTTATTTTTGCCATGTGCATGTATTACTTTGACAAAAATTGAAGAAGGGAAACAAATTTTGAAAAAAAAATTAATGTTTATTTTTGAGAGAGAGACAGAGCATGAGCAGGGGAGGGGCAGAGAGAGAGGGAGACACAGAATCTGAAACAGGCTCTAGGCTCTGAGCTGTCAGCACAGAGCCCGATGCGGGGCTCAAACTCAGTAACTGTGAGATCATGACTTGAGCTGAAATCAGAAGCTTAACCGACTGAGCCACCCAGGCTCCCCGAAGGAAAATAAATTTGAAAGAATAAAAAGCATAAACAGATCTAGTTTTACTCTAGCACAGAAACAAATATCCCATACGTTCCCAAAGCACCATATCATCAAGACCAATATCATGCCAACCTTGGGAATTTTCAAAGCAGGTGTTTCCAGTTGATCACCATGACTATAAAAAATAAAATGAGATGAAATAACATTAACATTTGGTTTTACTTTAACTTCCTGGTATATTCCTGGTATGGATTTCAAAATGTTCCTTTATTATCTAAAATAGTCTCTATTTGAAAGCAAAGGACTCCCCTCATATCCACCTGCTAGAGAATTAGTCTAGTATTTTAACATTTGACTTTATTTTCTCCTTTCTAGATCATGTGAGTCAGCTTTACCTCTTTATGAATTTGCCAAAAGCAAAAGTAAAATGCCAAACTAAATATCTGTCACTAAACAGGAGATTTAGTACTTTTACCCATAGGAATGTTTGTTATAACAGGAATACCATAATCATTAAACCAAGATGAGGCCCCAGCCCTGGCAGATAGTATAACCTTAGACACCAAAGGCTTAGGGAACAACCTGCTTCTTCTGACTCTTACAGAGTCCTGAAGGACAGAGCATCTTCTTCTGCAATACTGTTAAGAACTGGGAGGGAAGTTCTGATAATGAGAGGCTATGCATATCTACACAGGGTTCTACAAAATGCGAGGGCTCAGACTAAAAGCCCTTAGCCACTTATTCATTGGTCAGCCCTAGCATCTTATACCAATGTTCTTCTAATCCCTAGCAAGTCTGAAGGGGTTAATAAAGACAGCTATCAGCAAGACTTCAAGCAGAAGAAAAATTCTGGCTCTCAACACTGACTGCACGACCAAAGGGTGGAGAAGAACACAGTACCAGTTAAAACCAAAGAACAAAAGTTTCCTTTATCTCCACAGCATATCTATAGTATGGGAAAGCCATTACTTTATTTACAAAGATCAACTTAACTAAAGCAAAGTTAAGGTGACACACCATTAAAGGCATTTAAACTAATAAGTGCTAAAATTTTATCTGTGCATTTATGTGTGTGTGCTTTTGAAAAAAAAAAAAAAAAGATCTGAATGCTATATTGAAGTCCCCACTGGATAAGTTTATTTTGTAGTTTATTGAGTGTATTAAACAAAGGACAACTAAATTTTGGAGGACACCAAAGATAACAATGTTAGTTTTAGAATTGTTAATATGCTATTTTTTTCTGACGTTTATTTTACAAAGATTGATTACCCGTTGAGGTCATTCTTGGTTCTTGAAAGAAAAACTGTGTTATCACACAATCACCTACTCACCATGCCCTCATTTTTTAAAATGATGAGGGCAAAGGGTCAGAAGTTGATTTTGTTTTGGAGCACTTTCAATTTCAGAAAAACTACTCCTGTGGTGCCCAAATCTTTCAATGCTATTAAAATGAATACTTTAAAAGCATCAGCACCCATGAATCTTTATTAAGCCTGCCTGAACACAATCCCTGTCTTCCTAAATCTCAATAATCTCAATTCCACCCAGATGTCCAAGCTAGAAATCTGGGAGCCATTCTTGCCCTCTCCCTCTCCCTTATTCTCCTCATATCTGATCATCCCCTACAAACTCCTATTGTCTATAATTTTAAAATACAGCATGAACTTTTTCATGCTCTCTAGTTATAGATATTCCAAGTCACCACTGTCTTTCATTTGGGCTGCTACAATAATAATGTTTAAAGTAAAAACAGCAACAAATACTTCATAATATTTACTTTGGGTCAGGCACTGCTTTAAGTACTTTACATGTTAGCTCATTTATTCCTCTCAACAACCCTGTTAAGGTTTTTTAGTACATTTCTGCACTAAGACAAGGAAACTGATGCACAGAGGAGTTCGGTGACTTGTTCAAAGTCACACAACTAAGGAGGTGGAGAAGCCAGCAATCACCTCCTTACGCTCCCTTTGCATTCACACCCATCATCCTCTGATCTGATATCCACTCAGCAGCCAGTGTGATTCTTTAAAGCAAGTATCCTTTACCCAGACCCAGAAACTCTCTTAAGGTGAGAACAGAAAACAGATTTATTCTTTTTTCCCCCAGAGCCTGATAAAATCAGCTCTACAGAAAGGCTCTTTCCTAATGCCAAAAAGTCCCTTGACTTTTTTGGTACTCTCAGTTAATCAAAATTCTTCCCGTTAATCACAAAGTAGTTCCAGTTCAATAATAAAAATGCCCAGTACAGCGTGTTGGTCAAAATTCTGAACTTTATTGCAGTTAATGCTTCCTACTGCTAGTTAATGCTAGAACCTTTGCAGTGAGGATCAACAAATTTTCATTCTCTCAGCTGGCCTTTGGCCAATCAAGGGTGGAGGGGCCAGAGCAGGAAGAGCAGTAAGGGCTGGGTCTTGTTTGACAGGCACAAATGTAATCTAGCACTGGTATACTCTGGCCGTGGCAGGTATTTAAAATTGACTCCTGTTCTCAGGGTTGGCTTTATGAGCACCTTGGATATTCTGCTGTGAGTTCCCTTGTCTAGAGCTTCCTTGAAGTAGGCAAAATCTCTACCTGAACCAAACACTCATGCAGGAACCCAAGCCCCAGCCTCACCTTCAGCCTCTGATGGTGCATCTGCAGCCTCTTTCTGATAAGGTTGTCTGGATTAGGCAGAAGGCCTCTTGGCATGATCCCATTTTCAGTAACCCAGGTACATAGTCCTACCAAGGATTTCATACCTTTAAGATGCTAATGGAGGGATCATAGTTACTTCCCAAAGGCATTTCTTTGGTCTCATGCCAGTAAACTATTTTCCATGTATTTCTGTGTTCCATGGAATCCAGGGGATACAAGTCAAACTCTCCACCTTGTCACCTTAAACCTTCCTCACCAGGCCTGAGGTGAAGTAAAAACACCCGTACCACCAGTCCCCATGGGTATAGGGAAGACTCACAACGCACTGAAAATTTTTTCCAAGGGGAGCTTCTAAATCTTGACTAGTTTCTCAGCTCCTTCAGTTTTAGCCCTTTTATAGCCTTAAGATAGGCAGGGGAGTAAGGATCCACAGAACTGGCTTTTAGCACCTTCTCTGTAATTCTGCCATTAATGATCTGACTCTAACACTTCACTTGGGAACGTAGGGGTAATTGAAAGAGTCAGCTGAGTCAGTGAGTCAGAAAGAATCCCATTTTAACATCCTGTTAGAAATACTAAAATATGATGTCTTTCCACTGCTATTAGGATTTAATGCAAACTCTTTATTTTTTTAAAGTTTATTTATTTATTCTGAGAGAGAGAGAAAGCAAGTAGGGGAGAGACAGAGAGAGAGAGAGAGAGAGAGAGAGAGAATCCTAAGCAGGCTCTGCACCACCAGCACAGAGCCCAACACAGGGCTCAAACCCATGAACTGTAAGATCACAAACTGAGACAAGGTTGGATGCTCAACCCAACAGGCCACACAGGTGCCCCAAATGGGAACTCTTTAATATGTTCTATGGAGTGCTGCATGATGTGGCCCTTGCCTACATCTCCAGCTTTGTCTTGTGCGACTCTTTCCTGGGCTCAGCCGTGCTGGTCTTGCAACTCCTTAGGTTATCTAAGCTCCTTCTGACCTCAGAGCCTTCATACATGCCTAGAATGTTCTTTCTTGTACCTCTCTTTTTCTTCTCATTTCTCAGGTCTCAATTTAAATATTATCTTATTATTACAAAGAAATTTCCTGAAATAGCTCCCCACCTCCACTCCATTATTCTCACTCATACATGCTATTTTATTTTATAGAATTTATCACAAGTTATGTAATCTTATGTTTACTAGTATGTAGTCATATGGCAGAAACTGCTTAACTATTTACCAAAGCATTTCCATTTTCCTCCTAGGTACACAATTGGACTACATTTCCCAGCTGCCCTTGCAGTTAGTGCAGCCATATAACTAAGTTCTAGCTACTGGAATAGAGGCAGAAAAAGACCACTCCCAGATATAAAGCCTTCTAAATTTGACTCAATTACAGTTGTGGACCTCATTTAGGAAACCCAGATATAGGGGGGTTCTACACTGATTGTGTAACCTTGAGAGAGTGACTTAATCTCTATATGCTTCAGTTCCTTTACCTGTAAAAGGAAAGAATGATATCTACCTCACTGAATGGTGAGATTTGAACAAATGAATACATGAAGGTGCTTCGACTAAAACAATGCCTACAACATAGTAAGTGCTTAATGAATGCTGATATTATTCCTGTTATTATGGAATAATAATACCAGCAAATATATGGAATAACAGAAATACATATTTGCAAAGTTTAAATTAATATGGTAGAAGAAACAGACATTTTTCACTTACAAAGGAATTTAAAAATCATAACCAATAGGGGCCCCTGGGTGGCTCAGCCTAAGCTTTGGACTCTTGATCTCGGCTCAGGTTGTGATCTCAGGGTTCGTGAGTTCGAGTCCCACATTCGGCTCTGCACTGACAGTGTGGAGCCTGCTTGAGATTCCATCTTTCCCTCTCTCTACCCCTTTCCCACTTGCTGTCTCTCTCTCTCTTTCTCTCTTTCTCTCAAAACAAATAAATAAACTTTAAAAAATAAAAAATAAAAATAAAAGTAATAACCAATAAACATGTGTTCAGATTGACAAAGCAGGGCTTAACTAAATGAGAGGTAAGAAATAGCAGAGAAATTTAGAATTAAAGTCTTAGAAACCTCTGCCAATTAAAGATCAATCAGAAACGAAAATAAAGGAATTCCGGAAATAAGGTATAGACGTTCAGATTTGATTAACAACAACAAAAGAATCAGTTTATACACAACTTTTCAGGAACATGTCTACAGTGTTAAGTCAAAGCACATCTGTATCCTTCAATACCAAATGTCACTCTAATCAACAAAGACAGATGGGAACCCTTTCCTTGTGCTATTATCCCTTTTGTACCACGTAACCACTGTATCCTCCTTTTACTAACAACTTCTATCTGGGAGACAGCAACATCACCCTTGTTCTAGCTCACGTTTATCACACTAGTACAAGGCCCCAGAAAAGGTTCCATAAATGAATATATTTGATTAACTAAAATACGTGCTAAGCAATCAAGCCTACACTGAAAATAAAGCCAAAAATTGACAAACCACTGGATAATTTCAATAAAACTTGCTTTTAAATTAGTTTATGAATTTATCTCAGTTTTCTTTCCTACATGTCACTGGAAAAAATTTTTTTCTTTTAGTGTTTTTTATCATCCACATTATTATTTTGTTTTTTTTTTCTTGCTTCATAGTAAAACCATCAGGATGAGATTATGCTACAGCCTCCTTTGGCCAAACTGACCTGCCAAGCATGTGGCAATCTTCTTGTTCCCACAAAGCAACCACCCATCTTTTCTTAGCTGGGATTCTGAAGCATGCCAAAGAGAGGAAATGATACAGGGTATCTCAACATACCTTAAGTCTTGGCCCTCCTCTCCCTCAAACAACAACAACAACAACAACAACAATAGCATTTTAAAAAGATAGCTCTTAAGAGTCAAAGGAGAACTTAAAATGAGTAAAGTTAAATATGGCATTAAAGGTATCAGAATAAATAGTAGCTTTATTGTACATTCCTACTGTAATTCTTTTCATATTGAAAATTAAAAACCACAGGTTTTCTAAGTAAGGTCCTACTTAGAACGTTTTGTGTTATAAATGGGCTCACTTTAACAGATTCATCCCTATCTACCTAGTTAGAAAGTACTCTAGTAAAATAATCACTAAACCCTTAAAAAATATTTTTTTATCTTGACCAATTCTACAGAAACCTGAATATTCTCTCTCAGATCATACAAATGAAAATTATGCTTTCCAACTGGGAAATTATATTTGATTGCGTTAGTCATGATAACGACAGTAACCTGTCTCTATGCTGTTTATTTGAACTACATTAACCACACCAGATTTAATCTAGAAAGCCTGAGTTTAAGTGTTCAAAGACCATGTAAGCTAAAAGCTTAAATCAAGTCCATCCATGGATGGGCACTTCTGTTGTTGTTGCTGTTGTTAAAGATAAAGATCGGTGCTATTTTAAGAATCTCCTTGGTTAAAGATTTTGAATGCAGTTAAAAAAAAAATCTATATACCTCAGACACTTGGCTAACCAAGAAGGTCAGGCTAAGGTTACAAGAGGCGGTTCTCCAATT